TCCATTCCTGTGTTTTTCTTAAATTTTCCATAATCTTTGCTTGAGTGGTCCAATTCTTCAACTTTATCCTCCAGTGTTGATATTCTGTTTTCCATCTCATTCATTCTAGTGGTGAGGCTTTCCCCTGTTGTTTGAAATTGACTTACTGAGTTTTGCACTTTCTTCTTCATTTCTGCCAGAGTTTTCTTCAATGTTTCTATCTCTTTTGTGAATTCATTCAGAAGTTTATCCCTATCTTCTTTTAGCTCTTTGATTTGTTTGCTTGTTTGTTCTTTACTTTATGTTCTGAATTCCTTGATCATGTTTATGATTGTTCTTTTAAATTCAGTGTGCTGGGTTATCTCTAGGGGCTCTCCTTGTTGAACTCTTCTACAGGATTGGTGGGTTTTGCTGGGGACATAGTGGTTTGGCTTTCCATTTTATTATTCATTCTTTGTGGTTTTGGCATATGAATTTCTTTTGTTATATATGATTGTGATATGAGAATTAAGTTGAAGTATGCTTCTGTTTGTATTATCCGGTTGCCTCGATCCTTTCTTTATTAGTTATGTAAAGCTGGTTGGCACAGGGTTCAGGTTCTCTCAGGTTTATTTTGGAGGGAACTGATGGCTTCAGGTCAGCTATTCAGGAGTACCCACAGAAGCCCAATTCAGGTTCCAGTCAGGTACACTCAGGCTTCCTTCACCACGTGGAGGCAGGATCCAGGGTCTCTCAGGAAGTTCTGTGCGTTGTCAACCCTATGCCAGTGGGAGGCCAGAAGGGGGCCAGAACTTGGCATTCTTTGGTGGTCTGCTGAGATTCCAGCCTTAGCCTACCAAAGCCAGATCTGCCCTGGGGCCTTGGGAGGGGCCTCACAAAATCCCAAGTAGGGGGATGGTATGGTGCAATTAGGGGAAGCCCACCACCATGTGGAGGCAGGATCCAGGGGCTCTTAGGCTGTTTAATTTCCTTCTCCTGTCTTATTGCTCTAGCAAGAATTTCAAGCACTATGTTGAAAAGGAGAGGAGATAGTGGACTTCCTTGTCTTGTTCCTGAATTCAATGGGAATGCTTCCAGTTTTTCTCCATTTAGAATGATGTTGGCTGTGGGTTTGTTATATATGGCTTTAATTATGTTGAGGTATGTTCCCTCCAGTCCAATTCCCTCTAGGGCCTGGAACATAAATGCATGCTGAATTTTGTCAAAAGCCTTTTTCTATTGAGATGACAATGTGGTTTTATTTCTTTGAGTCCATTTATATGATTAATGATGTTTATTGACTTGTGTATACTGAATCAGTACTGTATCTCTGGGATAAAGCCTACTTGATTATGGTCTTTCTGATGTGTGTCTCTACGCAGTTTGCAAGTATTTTGTTGAGAATTTTTGCATCTATGTTCATTAAGGATATAGGTCTATAGTTTTCTTTTTTGGTTGTGTTTTTAACCCGCTTTGGGTATCAGAGTGATGCTGGCTTCATAGAAGGAATTTGGGAGTTCTCCCCTCTGTTTGTATCATTTTGAATAATTTAAATAGTATTGGTTGGAGGTCTTCTTTAAATGTCTGGTAGAATTCTGCTGTAAATCCATCTGGGCCTGGGCTTTTGTTAGTTGGGAGGCTTTGTATTACTATATTGATTTCCTTATACGTTATAGGTCTATTTAAACTGTTGATCTCTTCTTGGTTTAACTTTGGTGGGTCCCACGATTTTAGATATCCACCCATTTCTTTTAGATTTTCAAATTTAGTAGCGTTTAAGTTTTTAAAATATTCCCTTACAATGGTCTGGATCTCTTGGGTGTCTGTTGTGATGTTTCCCCTTCGTCTCCAATTTTGTTGGTTTAAACTTGCTCTTTCTTTCTTTTGGTTAACTGGGGTAAGGTTCTGTCTATCTTGTTTAGCTTTTCAAGAACCAGCTCTTAAACTCATTGATTTTTTGTGTTGTTTTCTTTGTTTCTATTTCATTAATTTCTGCTCTGATTTTTGTTATTTCTTTTCTTCTGCTGGGTTTAGGTTTCATTTGTTCTTGCCTTTCCAGTGCCTTGAGTTGCAGTGTTAGGTCATTTATTTGGGCTCTGTCCAATTTTTTTAATGTAGGCACTTAGAGCTATATACTTCCCTTTTAGGACTGCTTTTAATGTGTCCCAGAGGTTGTGTTGTGTTGTATTTTGTTCTTTTTGTTGAATTCCAGGAATTCTTTGCTTTTTTAATTTCTCCTTTGATCTACTCATTGTTTAGGAGTGTGTTGTTCAATTGCCACGAGGGCCTCGTCCAGTGTTGATTTTGAGCTTAATTGCTTTGTGGTCCGATAGAATGCATGGAATTATTTCAGTATTTTTTTGTTTGTTGAGGCTTGTTTTGTAGC